TCCAGGTCGAGCATCTACACCGAAGAAATCCTGGTTGTTCAGCGCATCTGACAGACGCACCAAGAGACCCGCACGACCTTCAATTCCAGCCAGCGAGTTCTGATCCGAGTGTTGCATCCCCTTGGCCAATTTTTCGACAGTGACCTTCTGTAATCCGGCGCCATCGACCTGACACGGTTCGGTCGGGTCACTGCTAAAGAGACCAGATTTGAACATCTCCAGACTGGCCACAGCCAGCCCTTCACTCCGGGAATAGACCTTGCCGGACTCCTTGGACTTGTAAGACCACTTGGTACCTGCGCCCGCGTCAAGAAGCACGGAGACCACAAAAAGGTCGATCAATCGACGAGTCCGCTCTTGGACGTCAACCCGGCTCGGCCACGATTGAAGCAGCTGGTTAATACGAGGGCGACCCCCGACATCGAAATGCTGCCAACGGCCATGTGGAGGGATGTTTTCATATTCTGGAGCATAGTCGCGCTGTCTAGGGTTAGCCTGTGGCCTGATCTGAAATGATCACATGGGGTGGTTAAGGGGGTGTTTAGTTTGTTTGTTTACCTTGATGATGGAGACGATGTAAGAAGCGGTCGCTTGAAACTTGGAGATGTCGACGTCGAAATGATTGAGCTGGTTGTTCTTTGCCTTTTCCAGGACAATGGTGGCACGATCACGTACGGCGTGAATGCTGCGCAGATAGGCGGCGGGGTCCAGGGCAGGGTCCGGGGGTTTAGCGATGGGCATCTCAGGGATTGAGGCGGGTAGGCCACTGCCTTTGTAGCCGGGGGATCTGAGGGAAGTGTTGGAGGTGCGGGCCGAGTTGACGGAAACAAAGGATTCCTGCTCGTCCCTGTCACTTTGGACAGAGGCCTTCGAGTTGCGCTTGAAGAGGCCCATTGCGCAGGTTTGGTCCCGGGAGGCCAAGTGGAGAAACGGTGATAGGTTGAAGAGGGGGATGCAGTTGCGCCCATCCAAGTCGAGAAAAACCTTTCCCACTCAGTATTTGTTGGTGTATAGCTGTCTTTGTATTTTTTGGTGTCTATTTTTTTTGGAATTGTTTTAGTGGTCTGGCGATTTTTTTTATCCCCTAACAGTCATGGGCGGGGCGGTCGGGCTGTTTGGAATCTAGGTCGGCGTTCAAGTGGGGTGGAGAGAATTAATAATTTGATCAAGGTTGCAGAGGTGGAGAGGAGAGGAGAGGAGAGGAGAGTAAAGATAGGAAGATAGGAAGAGAGAGAGAGAGAGAGAGAGAGAGAGAGAGAGAGAGGAGGTAGGTAGGAGGAGAAGAGGAAGAGAAAGAGAATCCCCTGAAAGGAAAAAGGTAGAGCGGGAGGTGGGGGAGGAGAAGGTTGGAAAGAACTCTCGATCTGCTGAGGATTGGAGGAAGGAACGACCAGAGGAGGGTCAGAGCCAGAGCCAGAGAGAGCCAGAGCCAAAGCTAGAACTAGAACTAGAACTAGAACTACACTAGTGTTGGCCAGAACTATGGAACGCAGGATCTTGTCTCCGTACGGAGTACTCAGAGCGATATCTTGGGTATAGATCGTACCGGATTTGACTCGAGATGAGACCAGTCAAGGCAATAGCTACAGAAAGGATCGTCATCGCGGTACCACATACTCTGGTACCCTAACTACTGACTAGTGGCGGCTAGTCAGTAGAGAACCTAGGGTATCATGGTACTGTACACTCTGTTAACTTATAGCTATACTCCATTGTCGTAGCTATAGCTATAGCTATAGCTATAGCTATGCCTATGCCTATGCCTATGCCTATACCTGTCACTGTCACCTTGCCTGCTAACTGCATCTCTGACTCGTGGAATTCACATGCTCCTGCCTCCCCCGATCTTCCACGGCGGTATTCCCCAGTCAGCACTAGCATCGGGGATGCAAGGGGCGGGGATCGCTTAATATAAATATAATAATTACAATTATAATTTAATATTAATATTCCCATCTCAATGTGATTTCATGCATTCCTTCAATGCTCATGCTCTTTGCTTTTCCCTAGATGATCGGAAGTACTATTCCGGCCTCTTGTCTGTTTTAATGTTTTTAGGGTTCTGATTGATCTATTCTTTCCATATCCTCTCTCTAATATACCAGTAGCTAGTAACTAGTAACTAATAACTAGTAAACTCCTATTACCCCTCTCTACCCCAAACTTCCGCCCTACCTGCCATCGGTCTCCTCTCGGTACTCCTACCCGTGCCACTCCGTACTCCCAGCATTCAGTATACTCCGGGCTAATGCGTGAAGCACGGACCGGCCAGCCTGTCGGGTCGTTTCAGGTGGTCGAACGGTCATTTCGGAGATTTCTGTTCCTGGCCTGTGCTGGCGAATCCTGTGCCCGGCGTCCACCGAGTACCTGGTACTTTTGTCCCGGTGATGACTGTTCCGTGGACTTCTAGATTCGAAGTTGCGAAGAAAGTGGCTAGCTCAAAAGGGATGACAGCTGCGAGCACGAGCATCCCCGTTCGTGTCAGGGGTCCACCAAGTCTGTCCTCCAATTCGTTACCGCGCGGCTCCTCTACCCGAGGGCTCCGTCTAGCGGAGTTCAAACTTTTCCGTTTCCCGTCTCGCCCCAGTGAGATCGGGGTTATTACGGTATTCTATCGTGGGTATGAGGAGGAATTGGATCCATGGATACTATCAATCGATCTATTGTTAGTGGACATTGATATTTATACCTACGAGTACTCCGTAGTACAGGTACATCGATATCCGTAGTCACTACTCCGTAGTACTTGTACTCATACCCATCTCTACACTAGTCTAACCCCCGTGTCCTGTATTGACACACAGTAAGCCACTTCGCTAAAATCGACCCATCTAGGCCGCCGTTAAGGCTCGGGACGGGAAATGAAAATCCAATTTCCCAATTCCTTGTCGGTGGGAATGCACGGTTCGGTGGGAGGCCCTAATATCTCCCCGACGGAGGGAACCGCGTGCAGAGCTCCACTCGCGTGGATTACCCTGCCTGTCATTTGCTATAAATTATGACCAGAAGAATATGTATTAAATAAAAATGAAAATGAAATCAAATTTTTTGACTTTTTTTAACTTGTTTGTTTATAATATTCCCCCCCTAGGCTATCAGTATTGTCGACGACGTCAATGGCTTCGCACTACCCGCGCTCTCGGACAGTGGAGATCTCGTCTCTCTCTCTGGCTCTCTCTGTGGACTGGAACTCGGACACTTAGATCCCAACTTTAATGGGCCAGCCGTCGGGAACTTGCGCGAGTACGACCTTGTCCCGGAAACGGCAGTCCTGAAGACTCTGCTCACTTTTGGTTGAACAAAATGACGGATGGTTTGTGCCGTACCCGAGTACAATGCCATTGTTGACAAGCTCCCAAGCTGCGACGAATTAGGAAGGTCGACTTTATATGAGGGTTTCGCCAAAGTTGACAGACTAGTCTAGACCTAGACTGATTCCTACAGAAGCACGGAGTAAGAAATCAATCCATGATGTCAGAACTACCAGCTAAGCTAAGCTGTTCCGTTTCATTAATTTCCAACTCCCAATTCGAGGTGGATCGTGTAGCTAGTAGCTCGTATCTCGGGCCTAACCCTGTCCAAATCATGCATACGCTTGATGCTTGGTATGAGCAACGACCAGTCAGAGTGTCCATACCTTCAGAATTAGTCAATTGATCCAAATAACCTTCTGCAGTCATAATCTCAATTTCAATGCCAATATCTGCATCTGTGTCTATGTCTAATGTCATACCTGCCACTCAGCTCCGCAGTCACATGACCAAACGCGCCCGCGCCCGCGCGACGTCAACCGCGCCCGCGCCTCCTGACTGCGACAGGCCAACCCTAAAGTACCAACACCAAAGACGACCATTCCTTCATCTTTCCATTTAATCCAAACCTTCAAAATGAACACCTTCGCTTCCATTCGCCCCACCCTTCGCCTGGCGGCCTCCGCCCCGACCATGGCCGCCCGCTCCTTCAGCTCCTCCGCAGCCCGCTCCGTCGCCCGCATGATTATCACCGGTCGTCTGGGCTCCGAGCCCGAGCTGTCCGCCACCTCCACCGGCCAAGATATCATCCGCTACTCCGTCGGCACGTCAACCGGAAGCCGTGACAAGCCACACACCAGCTGGTTCCGCGTCGCGACTTTCCTGCCTGAGGGCGCGCAGCGTGATTACATCCTTAGCTTGCCAAAGGGGTATGATTGATGCCCATGTCCATGCATCCACAGCTTGACCTCTCCCAAGAGGGAGGGCAACATGCGATACTATCATTATACAATGGCCTCAAGAGCTGCGCTAATGACTTTTTCTCATTTCTATAGAACCCTCGTTTACCTTGAGGGTGATGCCAGCATGCGCAGCTACGAGGATGCCGAGGGCCGCAAGCAGACCAGCCTCAGCCTTGTCCAGCGTACGTCTTATATACCATACCATACCCGCTACCATCCTACCTATACACATCCACTGCCAGGAATGCGATAAAGAGGAAAAGAGAATTTGTCACTTAACTAACATGATACTATAGGCCACCTTGATGTCCTGAAGCGCGGCACCAGCGGCGAGGAGGAGTCTCACTAAACTTTCCAATGGATTTTAACTTGCAACAACACATTTGGTGGGCTCTGATCTGATTGTTTCTTTTTGGGTGGAGTTCGCTGGGTGGTTGGATTGTTGGATGGATATCTATCTGATTTATTTGCTTTGTCATGTATGAGTATACCCTAAATACACCCCTTTCTATCACGATTGTTGCGTATGACCGAGATCTCTCGGAGTAATTATGCTTCCAAATATGCAGTAGTTAGGTATTTCTTTTTCGTCGTAGAGTGCTTGTATTCTTCGAGAAGGTTGAATATTGACATGGATGATAATTGATGATAGCTGATATGATAATTGCCGATCCTCCTTCAGTTCATATGATTAAACGAACGAAACACCAGGGCGCTATTCATGGAGATACAGAAAGATAATGCAAAACCTAGCACAAAGCTTCCCCCGTATTGATACAAAGCATCCCTAAATATGGAGTTCGCTCTGCTGGTGGATCACTTGTTTGACATGAATGAAGTCTTTCTTTTGCGGAGATGGGCTAGGTGTGATATCATCGCTAGCGCGGCTTTGACTGATTCCCGCCCAAGCGTTGGTGTATATTGTAGTTCCTGCTACGGGCAGATCATCCAGGAGCGTTTCATCGTTACGGCGATTTAGGACCATGCGGCGATTGAACGGTAGCCAGCGGCGGAACCAAGAGCGGGGTTGGCTCTCATTGCGGGCACGATGGGATGGGTACCGAGATTTGTCGATGCTGCCGAGTGTACTGCCGAGTGTATTTGTCTGCGACTGCTGGGAATTGCTTACATCACTACTGCAAAACCATTAGCCATCGATTGAATCGGGCTCTGTGGGGATGGTGAGAGATTGACATACCAAACAACAGGTTTTGTCTTCCAGAACAGTAGCTTAGATCGCTCACGAATAGTGCCAATGAGGGTGGTCGAGTTTGAGACGCCTGCAGGAGTATCGCTGTTTTGAGTGTCGAGAGGACGAACCACGCCGGGGAAACAGCAGCCTAAGCCGAGACACCAAAGGATCGTGCGGTAGATCTTGGTGGCATCGCGACCAAAGCCGAAAAACCCAAATATCACAAACCCCGCGGCGATCGGAGACCATCTATCAACATATACTTGGCCCTGGGTTGGGATTTTGACGATAGTGAACCACGAGGGGCCGTGGATTCGGCTCCACGAATATGGATGCCAAGGCAGTGAGTACTTCAGGCTGTAGTAGAAAGTGTAGAGCTCCACCGGAAGGATGCAGATGAGCAGAGTGAGCCCTAGGAACAAGAGGCGTAGGAATCGGGACTTGTTCAGGTTGCTTTGTGACGAGCGTAGAATCATCCCAAAGTCACTTCGGTATCGATGAAGGCGGATAAGTACGAGAACTGCGGTCTAGTCAGCTAGAATGTCAAAGATGCAAATGGTCGAAAGATGACGAACAGCAGTAGAAAGCTGCAATGAAACAAATCACGGGCGGCCAGACAAAGCACAGCGCAAAGCTGACCCAGCTTTCATCCAGATCAACCACGCAGCCCGAGATGGCGTAGAGTAGATAGCGATCCTTCTGCCATACAATATGAAGAGCCATCGATACCGCGGGAAGCAGACAGCAGAAAACGAGATCCATGATTCGGTTACGCCAGCGTTGCTTCCTGCTTGGGACCATGGTAGCGCGGCTGGTGTCTAGCACGATGGCCAGGCCGCGGAAGATACCTACTAGAGCTCCTGGAACGGCGAAGTAACCTCCTACCATAAACTTGACCTCGATATCACACAGACCGGTACCATCCCATGCCGACTCAAGGTCATCGTTTGGCCAGACCAAGGAATTGATGATGTTGAAAATATTCAACAGTATGTACCAGGAGACTAGGCTCATCATCGAGATATTGCGATTCTTTGCATGGAGAGCCAGTGGAGTGATCGACACTGTAATTGAGAGGAAGGATAACACCGGCAAAAGCACCGCTTGAGGGTATCGAGGAAATTCGGTGGTCATGATGGCGGAAGCCATGATCCCAGACCGGAGATAGGAGAGTCTTGGTAGAAAAGAACAGCAGTCTTCAAGATCGAACAAGAGCTTGGAGAAGAGAATTGATCCGGGAAGAAGAAGAGAAAGAAGAGCATATCTTCTCCCGGCCCTACATCAGGCCGCTGGCTGATGGAACGATCTCGTTTTGGATCATCAGAGACAGGAGCAGGATGATTCACAGATGTCATGTTGAAGCAGCCTAGATCAAGACATCATCGCACCGATGGGACGGAATTCCATCGACCGTCTATAGGATGGCGTAGTGTGTCTCGTCGAGAGAGCATGGTAAAGCAGACCCATGGTACAAGGAGGAGGAACCTAGCCATTGAAGTAGACACAATAGAGGTAATGATCAAAGAGGAATCGGATCGTCAAAGAAAGTCAGGGTTATTGAGGTCTAGAAGGGGTTGTGGAAGCCATGCCTAGTTTGGGGCTCAATACGCTTATTGAGCCCTGGAAACGGCAACTAGCAGCATGATGGTAGAGATGACTTGGATCGGAGGGCGATGATCAAGAGAAGTGCCATTTTTAATTACTTTCTCCATGTTGAAAGGTATTTCGAGCTGCAGTGAATGTATCGATGACAGATAGACAGATAGACAGATGGTAAAAGGGAGGAGATGGGAAGTGATGAAGGTGGCAGCCATTCAGGCAGCACCCGCGCAGCTGCAGCTAGATCGACCTCGGCTGCGTAACGAACCCCTCCACTCCTCACGGTGAACTCTTTCCCACTCCCCCGGACTGGTCTCGCCTTTGGCTTGGTTTCGCTTATACTATCTCTATGATACAAGTACTTCGTACTTCGTACATGCTGAATCATGGCTGACCCCCCTTCGCCCTCTACTTCCCGCCCGGCTTTGATGCGCCGCCGTGTCCCAGCGCGTGCAGCCACATTCGTCGAGGGAATGCCCATCCCCGACTGGCCCCAACGTCGTAACTCAACTCTATCCGATTCCATCTCAGAGGCCCGCAACTCTATCCGATCTTCGACCGATGATCTGTTTTTACCCCGTGTCGCCAAAGGCAAAGACCCCGTCGCTACGGAGGAGTCGCATTGGCACTCCACACCACTCGGTCTGGCCCTGCTGCCAGCTATCGCTGGCGTTTTCTTTCATGATGGAAGCGCATTTGTGACCGACGTGACGCTATTGGTCTTGGCCGCGATCTTCCTGAACTGGTCCGTTCGGCTACCTTGGTACGTTCTCTCCCTGCTTATCAGCATTGAACTATCCTATAGTATGGGTATAGATAGCGATTCCCATCTATACCAACCCTATACGGGTACCCCACTGGTATAAAGACACTGACGTCAGTACTAGGGACTGGTATCGCTCAGCCCAGACTCTTCAGAGAGAGCAGGCTGCATTGAATACAGTATCGGAGTCTCCACTCGAGGCGGATTTGAAAGAAGAAGACGAGGAAGATGATGACACCGTTGAATCTCCGGGCGATACGCAGCTTCCAAAACATCGCCATCGCCATCACCGCGCATCGGCCCAGGCAGAGGCCACAAAGGAACTCCAAATACATGAACTAGCCGCCCTAGCAGCATGTTTCATATTCCCAGTTGTCGGCACCTGGCTCCTTCACGCCATCCGATCCAGTCTTTCAAGACCTTCAGAGGGCCTCGTCTCGAACTACAACCTCACCATCTTTCTACTGGCTTCTGAAGTGCGCCCATTCTCTCATCTACTTAAACTCGTGCAAGCCCGTACCCTCCACCTACAGCGCATCGTAGCATCGACCTCGGCCGAAGACGCAATTGACCACGAAAAAGTCCAAGATCTCACGAAACGACTTGAAGAGCTCGAAGCGCATGTCGCCGAGGCCGCGGCCGAACGTCTCTCCTCACCCCATGCCCACGGTCAATCTAAATCAGAATATGCAGAGTTAAGCGACGCTCCGTCCCTTCTTACACAAGCGGTAGTCGAAAGCCGCCGGGCAATGCAGCCCGATATAGAAGCGCTAAACCGCGCCGTCCGCCGCTACGAGAAACGCACTGCCCTCTCTACCTTAAACACAGACACCCGCTTCCAGCAACTCGAAGCAAGCACCCGCGACGCTATCGCTTTAGCAGCGGCAGCCCAGCGATCTAGCGCAGCGCGCAAATCAAGCTATGCATTCATTCTGGTCGACTGGGTCTGTGCCTGCATCGTCGTCCCCGCTCAACTAGCCATGTCTATCCTGAATCTCCCCGGTCGCGCTGCCTCCTGTTGTGTCACGGCTGCTCGCCGTATGATTGGGCGTCCCGCGCCTACTTCCAAGTCGCGACCCCGAAGCGGAAAAAGTAAAGGTCTGCAGGCTGGTAACGGGTCTAGGTTTCGGTCGAAGTCACCTCCACCTCGTACGCCGATTGTGTCACCGCTAGCACAGCATATAGCGAGTGGTAAGGGGGCGATTCACTAGGCAGGTCCTGTGAGAGATAAGCAGGTCTTCATTCGTTTACCTCTTGTTGAGGAGATCATATCTTTTTCAGGCTATCATTAATTGGGGTTGGAGTTTACATACTTGATTCAATTTCTTTATTCCTGGCACCTTGCATCCTTCGCACTGGTATCAAACGCGCACTACCTGGCGGGTCATATGTATACATACCTTCATTCTTTCGGTTACATCTAGTGTAATTTTGTAAATTCAAGTTTTCTATCTTTGTCCATAGGGTTCACTCTTTGGTAGATGTTAGATGATACTAGTATTACAAACATTGGCGATCATAAGTAACGGAAGATGAAAGGCATGGGGCTCCATAGCCGCAATCGGCCCAGGAAAAGTAATGGTACTAGTAAGATTACTATATCAGTGTAGATCACCGGTGTTGGAGACTCTATAAACATTCTACTACTAAGAACTAGGATCAAATGACTCTAGCTAGGTTGATTGCGGCCACTATGTAGTACGGAGGCAGAAGGCGGAGAGTAGAGCTCCCACTGCGATGACGATATGCGGCACTCCGCTCACCTTTTGGCTTTCCACAACCTCCAATCCTACCAGTCCCACCAACTTCCTCCTCCTCCACCACCTCATTCCTCCCCACCATCCATCCTCCGCCGAGATGAGCACCCGCAAAGGTCGACGGAATAATAACCCCCCACGGCCATCCCCAGCACAATAATCAAAGCCAACACCCTAACCCTCAACTGACCGACTATGAATCCGACGCCTACTTCTCCGACATGCAACACCAACAAGCTCAAGCTGCTGCCGCTGCCGCAGCAGCAGCAGTAACAGCCGCAGAAGCACCCTCTCGCTCTAACGAGGAAATCAATCTCTCCGTAATCCGCCGCCATAATCCTTCCGTGACCGCAATCATCTCCCTAGCACCCTACGTCGTCGTCTACATTTTCAGCCCAACAACCAAACAATGGGAGAAGAATGGCGTGGAAGGAAGCCTCTTCGTCTGCCAACAAACGCCAGGACGACTCGGCGAAGACCGATACACAGCCTTCGTACTCAACCGCCGAGGCCTTAACAACTTCGACCTGCCCTTAACAGACTGCGACAACGTCGAGATAACAGAGGAGTACGTGATTCTAAAAGCCGACGAAAGCCCTGAAGGCGAAAAAGGCGAGAATGGAATCGCCGACCCAATGAACCCTCAACACGGCCGAGCAGCAAACGGGTCCAACAGCCCAGCCGACGTCCGAATCTACGGTCTGTGGATCTACTCCGAGCCCCCGCCAAACTCGACCGCCGAAACGCGCACCATCAACGCCCAATTAATCCTAGAATGCGCCGCACACGCCGGAAACAGCCTGAAGCTCGCGCAGGAACGGCTCGAGGCGATGCGCCAAAACGATCTCCAAGTAGCCGCAGCTGCGGCGGAAACCCAGGCTCCCCCGCTAGAGGAAATACAGGCTAGCGTGCCGATGGGTAGACAAATATCGCTGAAGGATCTGTTTGGGCAGCAGCGGGCGCAGGATGATGGATGGAGTGTGCGGGCGCATCATATGAGCCCGGCAGAGATTCAGATGCAGATGCAAATGCACCAACAACAACAGCAACAGCAACAACAGCACCAGCACCAGCACCAGCACCAGCACCAGCACCAGCACCAGCCGGGTATGGCGCCACCGCCGCAACATTATCCGCAGCCGGGCCATTATCCGCAGCAGCATTATCCGCAGCAACAGGCATCCCAACCACCCCCGCAGCCTCAAGGCGATGTACTTGGAGATCTGTTCCGCCGAGCGGGTCTAGCGTACCAGGGGTAATCAATGGACAGGGATGCTAGAAGGCTCAAGGTGTTGGTGTTATGGCGTTTCCTTTGGATTCGATTCTTAATTTGAATTGGCGGTATTACACAGCATTTCAACACCAAGGCGCAGGGATTTTTGACTTATTCTTTACGACGCATCTATAACCACTTCCTCATCATTCACGAGGCGCCAACGTACGTTTGAGATACCCACTGTTGTTGTGGTTAGCCAAGTAGCTAGCTGCACAAAATGACATTTCGTCTCTTCTGGCGAGTTTTTGACCTAAACCTACCAACTCCACGCCAGTCTGGGAGGTTGAGTAAATTTTGTAGTTCTAGCTGAATACTGAGGCGAGAAGACGTACTGTATAAGCGAGTAAGGTAGGTACTAGCTCCCCTTCAGAAGACAGAGACCAGGGCGATCAATAAGGTAGCGCCACTGTAGTCTAATTGTATACAATCTCTTTAATCATCCCAGTAACTTTACGAGCCATGATCTCGTTATGCTCTTTGTGAAGTTAGTATCAGCAGGATTCTACCGAGCGCCACAAGATGATGGTAACAACACGAAGGCGAAACTTACTCAAACAAAAGGCATGCGGCAACCCCTCTTCACAAACGAACATCTTCGGCCCAAGCCCATCCTTACACCCCTTTAATGCAATAATCTCATCCCGGGTCTTTTCCGCAACCCAATGGTCATTCCGTCCAAAGTAGAAGAATAGCTTAGCGACAGGGTCGCGAGTGGAAGAAACACCCCAAACATCATCCGTCCATTTATCGGTCGTGATAGAGGACATCTCGTCAGCAGCCATATGTCTAAGATGATCGGTATCGTCAGTTTCGCAAGAAATCAATATATTGGGAACAAAGAGACTTACAGAGCCTGTCGTATCGCCACCTGGACTCTTTAAGAAAGTAAATGTCGTTTCGAGAGCGTGTGGTGGTGGGCTTCTCATCACTGCCCGAATGGCGCTTTTCAAGATCGAGTCCGGGAGAATGAAGGTGAGGAGTCGAGCGAAGAAACTCACAACCAGGGCAAATTGCGGGATAATCGAGAGAAGGGTCTGTTAAGTCGATTAAGTTAGCTATTATTGAGTAAAGCCACGTATTTTGCCTTCCATTCCCCCATCTATGTGTGTGTGTGTGTGTGTGTGTGTGTGTGTTGAATATGATTGGATCCATACCGTCAATTTTTGTCCCGAAGGAGAAGCAGAGATATCCATCACCGTCGGAAACAGCATGATGCCGCCAATAATGTCGAAGTCAGGGGTATTGTCTGTCCCATCAGATTGAGACTCTGTCATAGTTTCACGGTGTCGTCTCAGAATTTCCAGGGCCATGTACGTCCCGACAGAATGTCCAATCAAGATAACCCTCTGCTTCTTCCCAGAGGAAATATTCCGCATCAACTGGTTTAACTTCCCCTGAACAAAAGAAATTTGTTCTTCCAGGTTGTAGAGTTCGCGGCTTTCCCCATTACTCTTACTCTTGTTCTGGCGGCCATTGGGAGACGAGGAAGATTCTTCGGATGAACGATGGTTCTGACTCTGTTCGGTTATTTCAAACCCGCCAAGACTGCACCCGTAGATCCGAAATGAAGTTTGTGACACTGGTTTCGGGGTAGAGCATTCTTTTTCTTCTTCTTCACCCTGGTCTGCTGCTAGGTGTTTCGCTAGCAAAGACAGGAAGGGGTGGTAGTAGCTGATCAAGCCGGGGTTCCCCGAAATGAAAAAGATAGTTGTATCGGCTTCGCTTTCGTCCCCTGCATATGTGCAGAAGACATTCTTTGTAACCCGGGACTCCATCACAATGGGGGATTCTGCTATCAATTGGAATTCGCAGGATTGGCGACCCCGTCGTTGTCGTCTATTATCAAGGTTGAAACACGACGAGGGGGATGTATGTTCTGCAATCAGATATTAGCAAGTCTCACGACAGACCCAGTCTGAGTTAACCGTCAATTGATTGACCAAACCTATTCTTTTATGCAAAAAGCCAGCTGCGCCGAGGTGTAGTTGGAGAAGGTGAGGTTGCGGAGCCGAGTGGATCCCATCCCATGTGAGCCGAGTTTGATTTGATGGTCCTACCGGACGCAAGGTCCAACCACGATCTACAACGGCGAGCATGCCGACGGATCTTAACTTTTAAGGTTCCCCTGAACCGGTGGGGTAGTTTCCAATGTTTATTCTCGGATATTAGCCGGTTGGTCTTATCCTGATCTTGGTCTGGGTTACTGCGTATACATACGATATAAGACCTGTGAAGGGTTGTGCCCGTTGATCTACGACCCAATTACAAGGAGAATCGTGAGATGCAAGATAGATTGCAATTGGTCCCAACTCCATTCCCATACCCAAAGCTCCTCCCCTGGAACCACCAGGTTTCTAACCCCAAAGAAATAAAGATAAAAGATAAAAACAGAGAGAAGAAAAGGCACGAAGCCAATTCCAATGCATTGCCCGGACGCCAGCAAAGCGCAATGTACATCATTCGTCCCAGCAATTCTCACCATCAGAGACCGCGGGTTTGAGAGAGAAAAAAGCAATGAAAACTTCACGCTCAAAAGATGAGAAGATGAGAAGAGTCGAGGGAGCAAAAAGAGGCGGCGCAAGAAAAGCCCATTATAGGTCGAAAGGAGAAATGGAAATGGAAATGGTGACCGCCAGAGAACGACAACAACATGGCAATGGCAACGGCAGCGGGAGTAAAGGGGGTTCAAAAGCACAGGCCTGGAAATCCCCGCGCTATGTCTGGTATCGAGCTCGAATCAAAACAAGATAGGAAGAAACGCTGCTGAACGTGCGAAAATCAACTCAATGCGCGACTGCGCAGAATCGGAATGGAAAGAATTAACCGTCTTCATCGCCTTGACTGTCGTCTCTGTTCTCTTTCTCATTGCCATCGGTCGACACTTCTGTGCACGATTTGTCGGCTTCGGTAGTGGCCGTTTTGGCCGGGCCTAAATTGATGGCAATCCTCTTGGGGGCTGCACTGGCAATACCACTCAAGTTGCCAGCGCTTTTCTCCGAGCCTGTTGACCCGATAGACAGATTTTTCTTGCGGTTGAGGATCCCGGCACTAGAATTGCTGCTGGTGGAGCTGCGACGCTTTGGTCCCGCCGCGAGCTTGACTAGTTCATCTTCGTCTTCATCATCACGTCGACGTTTCTCTGCAAGTCGTTCGGGGGCCGGGGGTGTCTGGGCTGGCGAGGGAGGGTTTGAGCCTGCTTCCTCCTCGACATCAGCAACACTCAATGGCTCACTCTGAGCATGGTTTGCGACGTCGTCAGGTTTGGTGGTGTCCATAGTATCCTCGTCGTCATCATCATCAGGATAATCCACCAATGGCTTGACCATGAGAGGACTTGATCCGTTTGGTGTCCCAACCGCTAGAGAGCCGCGATCGTCTTGAGTAGTCCATTCGTCTTCATCGTCATCATCACCCGCCTCAAAGTATCGCTCCTCGTCAGCATCTAACCCCTTAACGCCTTGCCAGCGTTGGCCATTCAAGGGAATTCTGCGCGCTGAACTTGCTTCTTCTTGGCTGAACAAGGTGGAATCAGCCTCAGCCTCGTAGCCTTGGAGCTGTTCAAAGCGGATGCACAAGCTTTGGAATGTGTCCACATAGGTAATTTGCTCGAGCTTCTCACGATACTTCTCTACCACATGTAGTATGAATGGTTTGATATTTTCCCGTTTGATGAATTCAAATAGCTCAAGGCAAGCCGAGTTGAGCAAATTGTCACGCGGCATGGTCTCCAGAACAATGTCCAGAATCAAGCCAAAAGTGTTATTGCGTGTCATTAAGGCTTGGTAGAAGGTGTCTTGGAGGCTGATCAAGGTACGGAAGAATTTAAGAGCAACTGTCATGTAAGATTAGCCTGAGTTCTGCGGGGGCTACACTTTATTTATCAACCATATCTTACCTAGCTTCAGGTGTTTTTGAGGAGCTGTGAGAAGCTGAGCGACTCGAGGAGCGAGGGATTCGCTTTGAATGGAATTGCGCGTCCGGAAAAGATGCTGGCGAACAAAGAAAGTGAGAATATCGACAAGATGCGCGTATAGCGTAACTTCTTGGAACGTCAAATCATCAACTAAATATAGGTTAGTGTCAAGCTACATCGTGCAGGAAATGAATGCAGGAAATCTCACGAGATTCGCGGTCAGCAAGCTGTTTAAGAGGCTGGAAAATTCGTTTGGAAGACTCGTCGAAGTGTTGTTGAACAAATGCGTCGGAGAGAAGATTGGAAGAACGGAGTTTGAAGTAATCGGGACCAGCCCGACCAAGAGGGTCCTGCAGGGGTATCTGAGGGTCAAGCAGGATTTTAATGGCATCGGCTAATTGGTTTTTGACACCGAGATCGGTCTCGGCATGCAGCAGGTCTATCAGGGTATCGGTAAGGGGGGTCTTCTTCTCGTTGACAGCTTTCAACATGTATCCGCGCATCATCACCGGATCATGATCTAGCAGCGCCACCAATATGTCGATTCCAGTCGTGCGCATAGCTGGGTTCGGGTGCTTCACAGCAAACGCGATGACAGCGAAGAGGCCGTGACTGATAAAGTTGGCAAATAGCTGGGCACGCGAGGGAGCTTGCAGATTCTTCGCAATGGCAGCGCATTGGTGGAGGAACTGCACAGCATCATCCTTACGCTTGGCGTCGGCATTTCTGGGATCGAAGACGGAAAAGAGTTCTCGGAGGAAAGGAGCGTTCGCTTGAATGTGATTGACGATTTCCATTTGGTTGAAGAAAATCAAAGAGTTCAGGACGGAGAAGGTCGGATCGTCCAGAATCCGGGCGAGAACCACGTCCTTAAGGTATTGTAATCGCCAGGTACTTCGGATCTTCCTGCGGATCAACGGGTCTCTGATGGGAACAACTTCCTTGTAACGCGACTGGTCCGCTAGGTACTGTCGATGATTTGCTTTGAGCGCTGGGAATTCGGGATCATCTGCGGGTATAAAATTAGCTTTGCGGTTTCTTCACAGCTGGTTGATAAGGGCGAGCCACATACATTCCAGAGCCCCGACAACTCCCAAGATGATTTGGTCTGCAACCACGGTCTCAATGATGGTGTTATCGTTCAAAAGAATAAGGGATTTCATGATATTGCATAGTCGGTGTAGGTCGATCAAGCTTTCGAGATCTTCGGCCATGGTGACCAAGGGGACTAGCTTGCCAATGTACTCGTCCCGGATGATGAACTTGGATAGCGCGTCGCGACCAGGTTGCGTCATACTGGCGGCCCGTACAATCTGCTCGATTTCGGGGGAGGTTGCCCAATTCCGGGGCTGGTAATATGATCGATTGGTAGCTTTCGAGGTCATCGGAGAGTGCATCATCTATCACGGGTGGATCACCTTCGAGTTAGACACGTCGCGTGATTCATCTTCGGACAATACTCTTACCGGCAGTTGCTAAACTAAGAAGCTGTTGTTGAACTGTATGCACGAATTCCCTGCGATTCCAATGGTGGTCAGTTCCTGTCTCGATGTGGGCGCGCCACGCACACCGCGGAGAAGCGTTGGAAGCGCGAAGCGCCTTACCAGATCACCGCGCATCCTTCGGCCTCTTGGAAGCTCAGCGCCATATCCGTGCCGTTCTGCTCCGTCCATACAATCAAGGTCTCTGATCGCGTGATACAAGTCAGTCAAAACATACTTCATCGTCGGTGATACGAGTTGGGCGGATGCAGTGGGACAGAAACCTTGCTGTTTTTGATAGCCATCGTCCTTGAGAATCTTGGTTTCCAACAAGACACGATTGGGTTCGTCTTCGGATTCGACGAATATTCGGGGGATTTCCTACAATCGGAGCGCGCACGGGGTCAGTTTGGGCCGGGAAGCGAGTGAGTGTGCAGGGGGGGAGGGAGAGAATGGGTAGTGCGATAATGCGATGATCTCATGCGCCCGAGGGGGAGAGAAGTCGCGCGACGGCCGGCGCGAAGGCGCAGGGACGCGGAAATGAGGCGGAGATGATGGGAAAAGTCGCGGAGAAAAGGCAGAGAGGCATTGCCGGGCTCGAGAAGGGAGTGAAGGACCGGGGAGGTGAGGTCTTACATCGAGGACCTGGCCGGTGCAGAAACCAGTGCCGCGGTCAAACCAGTCATTATCCCTCAGTTCGTAGACCTTGACACGTTTGCGACCGTCGGGTGGCTGAAGCTCCATGGCCATGATCCGGGCACAAAAGACCGGGGCCTCTCCAGAATGGGCGATGGGTGGTGGTGGTGGTGGGGGGAGGCCGGAGGTTGAAGATGTGATGGAAGAGTCTGCGGAGGGGATGACGGAAGGGAAGGACAATCTTGGAGGATCCGAAGGGGGAGGCTCCACCGGGGGAGATAGGAGTATTCTATACTCCATGCTATACATCCATTTATTACATTTAGTACAGCAGTATAGCAGTAAAGGAGACCATAATTAATACTTAGTAATTAATTATAACTAATCTAGCTACTATCTTATTTCTTTATTTACCAACACCCTAAATCCCTAATGGTAAGGGTGCCAATATTTATGGTGTAGATAGTGTACCTTAAGTGTGGCAGGTACAGAGAGTGTACCTATAGGAAGTACCGAGGTACTACCAGTACACACTACTAGTATACCAATACCCGTATGTACCTTCAAGTACCTCACACTTTGCATACGCGCAAGTACCCGCAGTACCTCCGGGAATGCCTGATCCCCCTAAATAACCTTCCGCCGAACCTTCGATTGGCCTTCTAAGAATACCATTATGGATACCTGAAGGGCGCCTGATAATTCAGGTTGACTTGGTCAGTACTCCGTGCCTCCACTCCACTCTACTGTTCGTACGCTACGACACCACACTAAACTAGCATGGCAGATTCTGCTACCCGATCGGGAAAGGTTCCAGACCGCAGCGCCTTCGCGCTTTTTCTTTCCTTCTTCTCTCTCTCTCTCTCCTCCCCTCTATTCACCCCTCATCCGATCACGAGCGACTTCTGGGAGTTTTGCGCTCGTACATTCGGTTAGAAAGCTCCCTCTCCAATCCTCCATCCATCTCCACCGCAAGCGGCCTGATCTGCGCTGCGCGCATATACATCGGAATCTCTCCCAAAAAAAACCCCCGCTTTTACTTCCACCCAGCATCATGTCCAACTCCGACACCAAAGATCAGGTCACCGTGCAGGCCGCGACTACCGAGGCCACAGAGGTCATCTCGCAGTCTTCGCTGCCCAAAGATCCCTCGGTGGCAATCATGAAGAACCCAACTGAGGAGGATGCCTCCTCTGTAGACCCGGCAGACCAGATCGAAAATGAAAAACAGGGTTTCTGGGCTTTCTTCAAGACCAAGGAGTTCTATATTATCTTGGCTCTAGGGTAAATCCCCCACTTTCCTACTTTCCTGCATTGGTGCCCGCCGTGGCGCCAATCCATGCAACTCCTCTCCCTAAAACATAAAGATGTAAATAATCTGACCATTTGGAATACAGACAACTCCTCGCAATTGCCAATACTTCGACAAGCACTTTCACCACGCTTCTCGGCGAGGAGGGCTGGGCCATCCCCACTTTCCAGACCCTTCTGAACTATCTGCTGCTCACTGCTATCTTCACTCCTTACACGATGTACCGTTACGGCCTTAAGGGCTGGTTCCAATTGTGCTGGCGTGACGGCTGGAAATGTACGTCCTCTGCACTCTGCACCCTATCATACCGAATCACCAGACTGATCAACTAACTCCTCTCCTTTCAGACATCATTCTTGCTTTCTGCGACGTAGAGGGAAATTACTTTATCGTGCTGGCATACCAATACACCACCATGCTGAGCGCGCAACTGATCAACTTCTGGGCAATTGTCGTTGTGGTCGTCATTTCATTCCTTTTCCTGCGGGTGCGCTACCATATCTCCCAAATCGCCGGTATTGTCATCTGTATCGGTGGAATGGGTGTACTGATTGCCTCCGACCACATCACCGGTACAAACGGCGGAGACATCTCCAGCGGCCATCAGCTAAAGGGCGACCTGTTCGCTCTACTCGGCGCATCCTTTTACGGTCTCACCAACACCGCCGAAGAATACTTCGTCAGCACGCGGCCCGTGTACGAGGTCCTGGGCCAACTTTCGTTCTACGCTTGTATCATCGACGGCGTCCAGTCCGCTATCTTCGACCGCGGCAATTACAGCACTGCTACCTGGGACGGCAAGGTCGGCGGTTACCTCGTCGGTTTCACCCTGTGTCTGACTCTGTTCTACTGCTTGGCCCCGTTGCTCTTCCGTCTGTCTTCTGCGGCCTTTTTCAACGTCTCCATGCTCACCATGAACTTCTGGGGTGTCTGCATTGGCGTCAAGGTCTTCCACTATAGCATCCACTGGATGTACCCTATCGCTTTTGTCCTGATCATTGTTGGTCAGCTGATTTACTACCTCGGTCAAAGGGCCATGGCAGAGGCGCGGAAGCCTTGGTTAGGCAAAAATCAGGAACGTGGCGTGGCGGGTCTTTTCACTGCGAAGCAGCGTATCGAGCATGTCGCGCCCACAGGCTCAGATCCCGAGCGTCGGCCTTCTGCCAACAATAGCACTGTCTAAGAGGTAAATCTCTGTTGGCAGGTGCTGTTTGTTACACCTCTGGTCCAATTTTATTTTCCCTTTTTTGGGTTTTTTTTAAATCTCGATACGGGCATTTAAAGGGTAATAGGATACATCATAAAGCGCATGTATACCGAACCATTCGACCGGTTTAAATATAGACGGTGATTGGTTTCGGCTATCTTGGATACACGGTGACTTGATCTTCCTTGCGACTCAGAGGTTGTTTTGCTCATGCAGGTGTTAATATTTCAAGTGTTAATATTTAATTCTTTAACGACTTCAATCTATCTTTTTTGCTTGATTTGAGGTGCCTGCTCCCATAATAGATCTTCCAACCACTGGCAGTTAAATAAAGCTAGATCTATGCTTTGAACACATGGAGTGACCCCGCTTTTTCTTTCTTGTGTTCTAGAATTCACCTTGTGGTTTCATGCAAGGCATGAGGTTGGCTCGGACGTACTGTAAATGCCTCATCCCACCCCCATACATTAGCCCTAACCAGGGTGGATCTACTGGTCACATTCCGGTTCGGCCTCCCGCAACAAGGTCTCGGAATCTGTACAATGGTTTCGAGAATTCCATTGGCCATCGTGGCTCAAAATCATCCATGCTGCAGGGTAACATAGGTAGGTGATGCAAAGACCCGGTGAAGTCATACAACCTAGTAGTTAGTATATCCGACTAGTGAATGGAGAAGCAGTTTCATTTGCTGGCCTGTGAATCTGCTACTACCTAAACTAGTAGCTGGGATCGAAGAACACTGCTTAATACTGGTACTATACTATGACGATAAATAGTAACTATAGTATCATTGTGTTTACTGCTGGACGATCTCGCAACATGAAAACCGATTATAGTTCCCGTGGTCAAGATTTCTTCTATTTTACAAACAGCAGTATATGGGTTAAGAAAATTACCAAGGTTCCTAGCCTTAAATACACTATAGGGAACACGACGTGAAGAAAAGGAGGGTTTTAAGCTTCGAGTCAGGCAAAGCGACAGTAAGGCCGAGTGAAACCGAGGGTAACCAACACGCATGAAGCGAGTTTGGGGCCGATGGAAAAAGAAAGAAAAGGTAGTAAGAGGGTGTAGACTCCACAGAGAACTTGAAGACATTAAGATTGAACACCATATCCCAAGAAATGGCAAAGAGGATCCCCAGTAGAAAAAGACTCCTATGAACTCTAGTACATCTGCTTATCCCAAGGCTCGGGAGAAGGCAGCGTATAGTCAAGTAGAGTATCCCATCGCCAGCCAAATTTCAGAAAGAAAAGAAAAGAAAAGGTAGTAGCTAAACACCCAAAAGAGTATGAGGGAAACTCCCATATTGAGCTTCGATTTGCGCCCCGCATTCCCCGTTTCCCAATCCCTTTTCTCTCCTTTCCCGCTATTGTAGATAGTAAGACAGAACTGTGGCCGATTTTAAATGTGCAGAAAATATTTTTCCGAATCCCTTCCCCCACCAACCCTTCCCTTGCTTGCCAGTAGGTAGATAGACACCAAAAAAAGGACATTTGCAAAGACAAATAACAAGACCGTTGGAGATGAGAACACCGAGAAATGAGAAACCCGTGAACTTCAGAATATAAGCGCCAAGATATCCCATCCATCCATCCAACACAGTATAGGCACCAGATGAAGGCAAAAAAAAAAAGAAAGAAAGAAACAAGAAACAAGATAAAAGATAAGAACAAGAACAGAGACCGGAAGTCAAACCAAAAAGGACAACAAGACTCGCTCCTTTGCGAGTTCAGATATGTGTGAGTGTGGATGTTTTGTCCCAAACCAAAATTGACACCAAATAGAAAGAAGACTCCAAGAACCATAACCAGTGGCGACACAACACCTCTTTCATCCGCCCAAGCCAGCTTGGTATCCAATCCTAAACCGAAACAATCCAAAATGACAAGAAACAAAAGAGAAGAACTGAACAAAATTGAACAGAACAGAGCTGAATAACAAACCAAGACCGAGCGTTAAATGGGGATGAATGCAGAACAGGACCTCAAAAGCTGTTCCGACATGAAACATCCCTCTGCCATCATTATATATACCGAGCGTGCTCCAAGATCCGATTTCACTCCCCCGGAAAAGAGAAAAAAAAAGTAAAGTAAAATCCAAGGCTTCCTCGAAGAAACGCCGCCGGAAAAGGGTAAACGGAGTTAACTCCCCATATCCAAAAATGTCCACAATACATGCCAGCAACGCAATGTGTGAAGGCAATGAATGGGGTGCGTAAAATGCTTTATGCCAAATTAACCCCACACAGAGGCCTGGACACCAAGACCACTCTTGGAACCCCAGACACCGCTGCCGTTGCTCCAGCCCAAACCGACACCACCCGCGGACGGGTCCTTGGGGCCAGATGCAGCAGGGGCGGCGACGGCGGGGTTGGAGGTTGCGGAAGTGGCCGCCGCATGAGAAGCAGCAGCCTCACCGGGAGTGAAGCCGAATCCCAAAGGAGAAGGGAGAGGGGTGGTTGAGCGTTTGTTCAGAGCCGGGTTGGAGGGAGAAGCGGTGGGTTGACCAGCGACTGGGCGAGAACCGATGGGACCGACGCCGACGGATCCAATGGGGCCTGTGCCGGGCTTGGAGGGGGCCTGTCGGGAGGAAGGCGAGTCGGCACCACCAGGAGACGAGGTCGCAGTACCGGGCTGATCGGGGAAGCCGGCATTGATGGCGGAACTCGGCGACGAGGTGCTATTGGCACGGGATGGGGACTGCAGGCTCGAGGTCGACTCGGCGACGGGGGTCTGAGTTAGACCGAAGGCATCGACGGCGCGAGGGGAGGATCCACGGACACCGGCCGAGGAAGGAGTGGCCGCTTGGCTGTCAGGCCGGGAGTTATCATCAGAAAGAGGGCCGGTATTGAAGAAGGCTGGGCTTTCGTTGCCATACAGGGCGCGGTGCTGACGGTGCAAGAGGCCGCGGTGGTTTTCTTCACCCATAGCAGCCGGGCTGAGGGAGCGATCGGATTTGCTTGCAGACATTTCGGCGAGGAGGCCTTTGGAAAGAGAAGACGAATTAAAATCCCGAGTTTTCAAGACAAAAATGCCAAACAGAAAGAATGTAATATTATACACCAGAGAAAAGTGGCCCGACGGATACATATAGATGCAGCGAGAAGAAGCATGACAGGAAAATGTGGGACAATGACGGGGAAATATAGCGTCAAGAGAGATGAAGAGACAAGGGAAGATGAGGGAAGAATAAGAGAAAGAAAAAAAACACACGCTACCACGTACTTCGGTTGTACTGCTGCTCCTGGTGATAGTTGCGGAGCTCCCGCTCTCGTTGTGCTGCCATCCGACGTTTCGCCTGCATCATTTGATCCACCTCATTCGTCCGACCCTGGTAACGCTGGGAGGCATAGAAGCCTTGGGCGTTACCGGACGGGTGCGCTCGGTTGTTGGTATTGTTGTTCTCAAACTCGCTGACGGAATGGTGGCGCTGGGGGCCGCCCATGCGCGGGTCTGTCACGGAATTTCGAATCAGAAGGTCGAACACCTCGTCGGATCGGATCCAATTGCCACATACCGTACTCAGGGTAGGGCCGGCCCATCATCATAGGCATCGAGTCCCGGCGAGGAGCATTCCACAGCTTGCCGCTCTTGACAAGGTTGTCGATCGCGCGGTCAACCTCTTCACAGAAATAATTAGATCAGTATTTGTTCATTCTCCAATTGATATATGTGTTGTTGTTTTTTTTCTTCTCTCGAGATTCGACAATTGACCCCGAGGCTGTCCGATTGAAGCTAATGGGGGATCACTATCGTCATATGATATGTCGTGTGTGCCACGGATCATTCCCCATCCATCATTTTGGTCGTGCGACAAACGAACGGGACTCGGGGAGACGAAATAAAGAGGAGATGCGGAAGGATTGTGCATACCGTCGAATTGAGAGGAGAATGCCGGACTATCATCACGCTGGGAGACCGAGCTGGAGCCTAGAAAGAAGACCATGTGTCAATTTTTTTTTCGATTCTTCTTATTTTTTTTTCCTCCACGTTTTTTGATCGGCAGAAAACCGGGGTTGACGGAGAGCATACCTGACCGAGAGGGAGGCACGGGCTGCTCCCACGAAGCCTGGCGTGGTGTAGCAGAGGGAGCCTGCCAGCCCTGTGGTTCGTAGTACGAAGACATGGTCGTTGAGAGGAATCTTCGCGGAACGACGAAGGTTCAGGGGAGAGCGGAAGAGCGGAGGAGAGAGGATCCGGGAGTAATCAGAGGCGATCTGGAAACAAGAAAAGAGAAAACTGTGAGTGACCGCCGTAGAGAGATTTATGCCAAAAATAAAGGAGACAGATAGAGGAGAAAAGAAGGTTCCCAACTGGTCCCCATCATCTCAAATGCAAATCGTGAGATTGCCTGAGAAAAATGGCCGTGGGTCCCTCCGTGCCGCACTCCGGCGGAATCGGGGGAATTTGGGCTTGGGCATTTTTTTTGGGGTTGGCACGAGGGAAGAGGGGACGATCGGGGTAGACCCGAGGGAAACAGAAATACATACAAGGAGTAGCCTCTGAAGATGGAGTCCCACGAGTCAAGGTCGAAAGAAGGAGAGATAGAAAAAAAAGAGGGGGTAAAGAGGGAAAAGAAAAGGAGGAGGAGAGAGGGAGTGGCTATTTTGGGGGGGGTCGAGTTGGTGTGGGTGGATTCAAAGGAGGGGCGCACCCGAGATTACAAGCAGTTAGTTACAGTAGGACGAGTTAATAATCTTTCAAGTTGCATGAGTACGAGTGCACTTATAGGTAGAGTCATAGCATAGCATGACCAATGCATTATGCCATAACTATTGCCATGTCTTTTGCCATCTCGTGTAGTAACTACCTATACTGAAGCATAGCTGTATACTAAGTAATGTGGTAGCACTGTGGTAGTTACTACTAAACTACAGAGCAGAGTATACAGTTTAATGAGTAAATACACTATAATCTCCTCCTCCACGCGGCAATTCCCGGTCTTGAGAACGGGGCATGCGCCTAGTCCAAGGGCCCCCATCCTCGTATACCCTGACTAGTAGTTATTAGTATTAGTACTATGTACTCCCTACGCCGTACACTAACTACCGAGTACTTATACACATGTACATCCCCCTACCAAGGTTCCTCCACCTTTTTGTGTGTCCAATCGACTGATGTACTAACCATACTCAAGTTACTTAGCACAGACATTGTCTTTGTGCTCGATACTTCATACTTCTCCACGTCCAAGACCAACCTACTCCGGAGGACTGCCGCCAGATCCGCTTTCCACCTTTTCCCTCTCCTACTCCATCTCATTCCCCCCACGCCTTGCTCGGCTTGGCTTCGTCGCGAAGCTGGCTGTATGATGATGGCAATCCTGCAATACTGCAATGCGCCCTGCACTCGCATGCAGCCTGCCAAGGCTCATTTCGCCGCCTTGTGACTGCTGAGCTGAGCTGCGAACGAGAGGTGGGGAAGGGAAGAGGGCGAGGGCTTCTTTTTGCTTTCCATCATGCATCCTATCCACTGTTCAAGGTTCCAGGTTTCGGCCAGCCCTTCAGAGAACAAGGAAACCTCAAGAGTTCGTTTCGGAGGGCACCCCACGGAAGGACGTTAGCTGCACTCGCTAGTGGCATTATTTCCGCCCCGGGGCCTTTGCCCCGTCCATCTTGGTCCGTGCTATGACCAACGCATCGGCCGGTCAATTCAGGAGTCCCATGTGGGGCAATACTCTACAGTACGGAGTACCTAAGGTACTTACTCACGAATATGTACAGAGTACGGAGTACGGAGTACAGAGCACTGTAGTATATTCTTCCGCAAGGTCCGCAGCCCCTCCCCTTTTATATTGGAAGTTCTTCCCCGGCCTCAGCCTAGTCAGCGCGGGCCCGGCTTCATGGCCCCGCAGCATGTACGAGTATGCAGCTCGCAGAGCAGCGTCCGTGACGCTTGTGACGCCTGCCAGTGGCGGGGCTGTGTCCGGAATGAATTGCTTGGTGGGTTAGAGCCACTCGTATACTCCTATACCCAGAATGCAACACTGGCTCGGATCTGGCCTGATCTCGAGGCCCGCTATATTAATCAGTTTGTATACATCCCCAGTACAGAAGACCATGGGAACTCCCGACCCAACTTTCCCCAGAAACTCTAATGCCCTTCGCGATCATCTGCGGAGGGTAACTCTCTTCAACTTTTTCTCGCGTGCTCTCCGGAGTGTATGAGTGTATTGGGGTATCACCAGGAAAGTTGTCCCCGGGGATGTGCCTGCGTCACCCGGGAGGCCTCGATCCAAGCTAAAAAAGAAAACAAAAATAATTTGAATATTAACAAAACAAAAACAATCAAACAAACAAAAGAATGGTAGCGAAAGGGTTGGACCCATAATAGCTTCAAGCTCAAGTTTCGCCATACAGACTTCCCAGTGGGCAACAGAACTTAATGAAAACGTCTCACTCGGCCGCACTACCGGAAATATTGGAAAGTCTTACAGGGTAGGTGATAGTTTAAAGCCAGCTTTATTGCAAAAATATTTACAGATCGAAGGGTTCGAGAAACTTGTTGCGTCGCGTGACATATAAACCAGTCTATAAAAAAGAAAGAAAAAAGAAAAGTCGTACATACATACCTATTTGTATGCTCTCGGCGGTGGGGATCTGGTTCTTCTACTCCGTACCATTTTTGCTTCTGTCTTCTTTTCCTTTTTCTTCACTCCCCATTAAGACCTCGGGATCGGTTCGTGCCACGGATCAGCTATTACACAAAAGGGCTTTGTCCGCATGTCACCGAAAGCGAGGGCGTCGAGACCACGGGGATAGAAAGCGATTTGTTGAAATGTACTCCTACTCCATGCTTCCAACCATTGGGTGCAGCGCGATCGGAGAGATAAAGGGGTGTTCGGCACCGGCCATGGTCTGGCGGTCTTAGGAGAAATGATCCAGCCACAAGGTTCTTTCATCGGGGCAGTAGGGGAATGGGAATGCCGGCGGGTCCAATGATCACTGATCATTGATTCACAGAGCGGGCCCTCAGGGTTGCGTCAAAGAAAGGGAGAGGAGAGAGAAGTTCAGGGCTCAGGGCTCACTTACTCTCACTCTCACCGTCCAGCTCTAGAGGCTCACTGCATTGCTTTACTATAATTAAATCAGGTGGCTTCCCTTGATGGCCGCTGATGGTGGCCTCGATATCTTCCATTAGGGCGATTTAGGGTATAGTAGTAGTCAAGACACACGTGCAAGGATGGGCAGAATCGCGGGGAGGAAAGCAGCAGGGAGTGTCGATCAGAAAGGGGGCCCTTTCGATACCATTTGATACACTATCGGATCTCTTGGTACCTGCAGCATCTCCGGGTTGGTTTGCATGGGGGGTGGCGTAGTAGGGGATTGGATAGGATAAAAACAAAGAAATGAATGGGAAATGGATCATGATACTCGATACTCGGTGATATGAATTGTTGGCAGTATGTAGCTACTGACTACTCCTATGGTTTCACTACGAGTACTCACTTGAAGTAACTATGCCATACTGTGGAAATCATGCATGTCGCAGGTAGAGAAACACTTAGGCGCCCTTCGTATTCTGGCTGAGTCGACAGGTTTCAGCAGATCCCCTACGTAATAAGTCCATTTTCAATTTCCATTGCAATTTCAATTTCCAATTCCCAATTCCATTGCAATGGTGAGAGGTGGACCTAGTCAGAGGACTAAAAAAGTGCGGTCGGCTTGATAACCTTTTACCTTTGGCCTTTGCTTTGGACTTACCGCCAGGGGGGGGTTTACTCGCATCTTCACTTTTGACTACACTTGAACTACACAACACTTCTTTCTCTCTCCTCTCCTACTCCCATCCTCTTCGTCTTCAATCGGAACCCCGGTTGGTTCCTCCCCGATTATCCACGACCTGCCCATCTTACTCGCCCTTCCCCCCCCCCCCCTCCTCCTCCACCTCCTCCGTGTTGTTCCCCGAGCGCCACGTTCCCTCCCCTTTAACCGTTCACTGAAGTGCTTCCCTGTTCGGTCCTCGACATTTGCTTCTTTCTGTCTCTCGTCTCTTCTCCTCCCCCTCCCCCTTGACTCCTGGTTGAGGCCTCTATCTTCGATCTTCGATCGGTGGTTTCTCTCCAATTTTGAGAACCGTGTGTGAGGGCGATTGATTCACCTCCACCTCCACCTCCCGTTTCGCAACCAAATTCTACGATCTCCCCTCCTCCACTCTGGAAAAAAAAAATACCTCCCTTCCCAAAACCCTCACCTCCCCTTTTCCGACGAAAGAAACCGCGAGCCTTGCTACTTTGTTCGAATACCCTACTTTCTCGACCAGCAGGAGACAATCTCTTTTGCTGGGCTTTCGTTGGCCGCTTGTACCATTGAGTGGACCCGGAGGGGCTGTCTCGAGTGAGTGTGGTGGGTGTGGATTCACAACCGAGTCGCCGAGTCCGACACAAAGACTGGGACTTTGTTGGAAACTGCTATATGGTCCCCTTCATCGATGGGAATGCAAACGGTTCCCTGCACAGTGGTGACATCCCACCGATAGCGTCGGAGCAGCCTCCCACCATGGCCTGGATGCCGCAGTCCGACGCGACCGACCTTCCACATCGCCCTCCATTGACTTCGCAGCAATCGAATTCCCTTCCCTCCACCCCATACCAACATGCGCGCAATCTCTCCTTCCACTCTCGATCGCCCTCACCCGCTCGCGGGAGCACTTCTCCTCGATCGACCCATTCCGAATCAATACATTTGCCCCCTTCCGCTCGAAAACCGCTTGGAGGTTGTAAATATGAAACCGCCATGGCTTATTTCCGAAGACGAATACCCTATAGTCTTGGTGCGGATCCCTTACCGGAGGAGAAGGAAGGCTTGAAGGAAAAGCTGGGCCTGGAGGAAGAAAAGAAAATGACGGCGGACATCATGGACTTATATGATCGTTTGTTACCATCTGCGGAGAGCGATGATCGACGGCATCAGCTCGTTCGCAAATTGGAGAAGCTGTTCAATGATCAGTGGCCCGGTCATGAAATCAAGGCCAACGTCTTTGGCTCGTCGGGGAACAAACTCTGCTCCAGTGATTCGGATGGTACGTTTCTTCAGTCCAGGAAAGGACCACGAGCTAGAATTCGGAAGGGTTTCTACAGGCAAACTAAGGGAATTTGAAAGGCTGACTTGCAACAGTGGATATTTGTATTACGACAAACTTCAAGGATCTGGAGCATGTGTGTCTTCTGGCGAAGGTTTTGGCAGAACGTAAGAATTTCGCTTTTCTGAGATCTTGGAGATCTTCATCTTTCATTTTTGGCCGCCGACTGACTCTTTGACCAGACGGGATGGAACGAGTTGTCTGCGTTTCACATGCAAAGGTTCCTATCGTGAAGATCTGGGATCCCGAGTTGAAACTGGCTTGCGACATGAACGTGAATAATACTCTAGCGTTGGAAAACACTCGGATGATTCGCACCTATGTCGATGTCGATGAACGGGTACGACCGTTGGCAATGTGTGTAAAGCACTGGACGAAACGACGCATCCTGAACGACGCGGCTCTTGGAGGGACACTGAGCTCGTATACCTGGATTTGCCTCATCGTCAACTTCTTGCAGACGAGAAATCCCCCCCATTCTTCCTAGCCTCCAGGCTCGGCCGCACGAGAAAAAGGCAACCCCCGAGGGTTTGGTATATTCGTTTGACGATAATCTCAAGTCATTATTGGATTTTGGTCAGAAGAACAAGCAATCTGTCGGTGAACTTTTCTTTGAGTTCTTTCGATACTACGGCCACGAACTCAACTACGAGGAGACCGTCATCTCTGTGCGCGAGGGCAAATTGGTATCTAAAGAAGGCAAGGGCTGGCACCTGATGGTGAATAATCGACTTTGTGTAGAGGAACCATTCAACACATCGAGAAATCTGGGAAATACTGCCGACGACACTTCGTTCCGAGGATTGCATATGGAATTGCGACGAGCATTCAAGTGTGCTTCTGTAGGAGACCTGGCTGATTGCTGTGCGCAATTCGAGTACCCACTCGAGGAGGAACGGACTTGGGAGCGACCACCCCCACAACCACGTCCTATCATCACACCTTCATTACCCAATCGCGGAGGCCGGGGTGGTGGTCGTGGTGGGCGGTATAACAATCAAACCCCCCCGAGGTGGGTTTGCAGGTGGTCGTCGGGCTTCTAACACTGGAGGAAAGTCCAACAACAATACATTCCGACAACCGAGTGCCACGAACGCATCCGAATTGTCCCTGCAAGCGCAGCAGCAGGCACAGTATATGCTTCATGATCAGCTCTACCAGCAGATTCAACTTCTCCAAGCTCAAGAACAAGAGTTGAGGATGCAGTTGCAAAACCAAGCCCTCATCACCGGTCGTCCTCCGCCATACTTTCTTCGCCAGCCTTTCCTCCAATTCCCAATGCCCCAACAACAGGAGTACTCGAACGAGGAGAACTCTCGCTCAAGGTCAGGCACTGTAAACCAGCCGCCACTCACCCCGTCCCAGCGGCAAACACCCCTTCTGAACCCTACCTATGCCTCTGTCAGCGCCTCTGGCACGCAAGCTAGCGCGACAAACCCTCCTTCTCCATCTGCCACCAACACACTTCCCGACCTCCGTCGAAATTCTCGGCAGTCATCCGTTGTAAATGGTTCACCCAAAGCATCGCTAAGGGCCCAGTCACAGCCCGCACGACCCCAAAATTCACCCTCGTTTCCGACTTTCACGCCCCTGTATACTATTCCACAGCCTCTTGACACGTCTTACGCCTCTAAGCAACACCCAATTCCCGAATCCTTGGAAGGTGGAGATGGTAGCGGAGACGAGGTCAATATGCCGTCAAACAGCCTCCCCAGCAATGGCTCTCGCTCCGATTCCGTCGACGAGAACCGCTCACAGGACCTGCTAGGTTATTACATTACCCCTCAGCAGCTGCAATTATACCAGCAGAACAATATGTTACCCACATTGGCTTCTCACGTGGGAATGCTGCAGAATGGTTATTCGTCTTTCCTCCCTGTGCAACAAGAATACCGATCCTCCGGGGGAGTCTTTTCGTCCGAAGGCTCGAGTTCACGGTCCGATCAGACCCCGACGCCTGCCCCAAAGGCTTCAACGTCACAACCGCCGCAGCGCTCAGCATCCACGCGCCCCGCTGACCGTGGAGGACCACTCATCGTGGATGGCTCGGTTCGACCCAATGAACCTCGTCCGGCGTATGGATCCGACTTCATTGATTCGTACACTGTGGGTACCGCTTATACTTCGACTTCCGAGGACCACAACATCAACACCCCTGCCAGCTATTCCGATTCCTTATCTCAGGATTTCCAAGAGCCCGTCCCCTTTGAAATGGAACAAACGCCTGTGTTCACGCAGTCACCATTCGAAGCACAAAAACAGAGCAATGGAATTACGGAAACTCAGCAGGAAAAGGCAAATGGCCAACCTGAGCTGCTCGCCAGTCGACTGCAGAATTACCATTTATCAAACGCTGAGAAGCTCGCTCAGTCCCATTCGGCGAACAAGACGAATAAAAACGGCTCTTCGCACCATGGCACTGGCAAGGACACAAGCCCGACGAAGAGTCACAATTCTGGGGGTGATAAATTTACCTCTTCTGCAGGTGTCAACGAAGGTCGACAAACGCACCCAACCTCGAAGCGCCGGACGAATGGGGTGGATGCCTCGGAGAAGACAAATGGGATGAGCCACAGCCACAAATCCAAATCCAAGGGCCGACAGGATACTTCCACCACAAGCGGAGACGCAAAGGAGAACCCATCCAAAAAGTCCGGCGTGGCGACAAACGGGGCTACCGACCATGGCCATGGTGGCTGGCAAACCACCAAGAAAAAGCACCGTCGCAACGCGAAGTCATCTGCTGAACCACGCAATGGAATTAACGGTGGCCCCGAACCTCTTCCCGCAGATGAGTCGATGCGCAAAGGCGGGTGAAGTTGTGCGATTTCCAGCATGGCATCATCCGAATCTTTTCACTGCAAAAGAAAAAGGCGCCCTCGCCGCGCCCCAAAAAACAAAACACATTTAGCATAGGGGACCACATCAATCTTTCCCAACGACAATCATCCAGCCCTGCTTTCATGGAGTATCATCGTTAGCTTTTTTCCCGCCAGGCATCTTGCTTTATTGTCTTGATATTTCCATTTTCATATCGGTGTCTGGAGAGAGACAAGGCATATGCGTTAACGCCCATCACATTCAACAGAGTCCCACGAAAGCGAAATCAAGAGACGAGAAGAATAAAAAGAAGAAAACGACGACAGCAAACAATAACAATAACAATAACAAATAACAAACTAAGAATGAAGAATGAAGACTTGGGGACCGGTTTCATCATGTTCATCATCATCTTTCAGGAATTCCACGCAACAACGCACGGCGAACGAAATCTTTTTCCGCACCTGCTTCTTTTTTGTGCATTCCTTCTTCCTCGCAAGCTGTTTGGAGTTTTCTTGTGTTAAATGGGCTAGATCCCTTCCCACTGGGTGTTCCTTTTTTTTCTCTCTTCCTCTTTTGCTTTGTCCCCTTTTTTTTCTCCCTCTGTTCTTTCTTCCAAGTGTCTTGATTCTTATGGTGCCATCTTTTCCTTTTCGGTTCTGTATAAAAAGAGAATTAACAATCCTGCTGTCAATGAGAAACTAAAAAAATCGAAAAAAGGCTTATTGCAATTCTTGTGTTCTGAGATCTGTTGTAGATGGGATGTAGTGGGTTTGTTCTTGGTCATGCTGTTGCTGCTGAACTGGAGATCTGTCAATATCACCTGGGCACCGTTTGATTGGATTTTGCTGAATAGACTTGGGACCGTGTTTGTACATAGTATTTCATTGTAGTGGACGAAATTCACCATGCTTCAGTTCATATTCACCTTCATCCACAAGCAAGCTTCTATCTCACTTCCACGACGAATAAGACTAGACCGCAAGTTGGACTGGAATATGGCATAATGCCGAGGTAAGCCATCCATAGATGACAACCACTCAATAAAGGCTCACTGCTGTTTAAAGGTATTACTCTCTAGCTTTGGGAGTAAAAGAAGCGAAAAAAGCGTCCCCTCTCTGGAAATTCCATCGGGGGAGAATGAGAGAAGAGGGGGGAAAGTCGAGGACAAGGGCAAGGGCAACGTACCCAAGTCTTCTACTAGTACTTATGTAGGCGCCATCAAAATACGAACCCTTGCTGGAATGACATTGCGCCATCCATATCACGCCTGCCGTCATGGGCTGGTGCAGGTAGGACAAGAATGTCAAGTACTCGTTTGTACCGACCAGCAAGGCCAAACCAAATTGTCGGGGGGTTGTCACGCAATTATTTCAATTCTTTGGAGTTATTTCTGTCTAGGAAGAAGTACCCTCGTTCATCGAAGCAGGCAGCCTAGCTTTTGCGAACTATGAGTAGTACCATGCATGCATGGTGCTAATGAACTACTAGTACAAATGTACGGCTAAATCTTGGCATCTGGGAGGTATGTACGCATTGTTTTCTATGCTTGTTCCATTCATTTGGCATATTTTTGACATTGATTGTATCGTCCACCCAGGTAAGTTGTATATTTATAGGTGGCATATCAAATAATGAACAGTCTTCAAGGAGACCGGGAAAGGAATAAGTAAAAAGCCGAACTCAAAAATCGAGAATTGTTGGTACAGTCAATCGCTTTTGTTTCAAGTTCTCTTGAAAAAGCCACGAAGGAATAAATTAAATCACATAAAGAGCCGAAGTATGCCCGATCAAAGGTCGAAGTGGGACATTATGATAATGGGGCCCCGTCGCTGAAACACATTATGTTCATCAAAAGGTATATAATATAGAAGTCGTCGTCGGATGGTCTGATCAGGACCGGAGCTCGGCGAAGATGTATGGGAAAATCACAACGCAGGCGGTCCAGAAGACCATGATGGATCGGAAGGGGAATAGGATGAGTTGGGTCAGAGGTGTGTCGCGGAAGAGAACCCAGATGGAGAGGAAGGCGACAGTGAAGAAGTGGGAGAAGAGGACTAGAGGTTGTTTGATGAGGCCGGCGAGTAGACCGACGGGTCCATCGACGGCACCGATCTGGAAGTAGCGGAAGCAGCCTCGCTGAAGGGCGCGGAGGTTTACATCTGCAGAGTGTTAGAGGGGGCTCATCTAAAAATTGAAAGAGGGGGAATCATACCGTCAGCGGCGAACAGGGAATAGAGGGCCTGCGCGAGGATGTTGATGACAGAGGACGAGTTCTTTCTAGCCCAGTGGAAACGGGCGAGTTGCTTCAAGACCAAGGTGGTGTTGCCCAGGTCCGGCACAACCTCGGGGCTAAGCAGCTCACGAATGACGCAGACATCGTTCAGTGCGACTGTCATTCCGCCACCAGTCAGAGGGTGTCGCATATTCAGCGCATCGCCCAAGATCATCATACCAGGCGTCTTATTGGTTGAAGGCGGGAGGAAGGAGTTCGGCATCGACCGCAAGTTGCCTTTTTCGAGGGCAGCCGCGAAAGCGGGCTGAGTTGCTTCGGGAAGAGAAGGGAGAACAGTGTTTTTCATATAGCCTTTAACTCCGCCGTTCTTTACAGAAGCGGCGGGCAAATTATCAGGGATATCGATCAGGATGCGAGTCTCGTGGGTGCCAATCTGGTACATGAGGACGGGTGGACAGTCGCTGAGAAGGACGTGGCCGTAGTAGGGAGAAGGGAGTTGCGCATCGATCATTTCGAGGCCCCAGAACTTTGAACGGCGCTTGGGGGTGTATGGGTGGTGCGTTTTGCGGAATTTGGAGGCGTAGCCATCGGCGACGACGGTGAGCTGGGCGAAGTAGCAGTCCTTGAGATCATTGGTGATGCACTCTACACCAAGAACCTGTGAAGGGTTTGTAGAAGAGGTCACGAGAGCAGTTGCTGTGGTCTCAACGACCGTGACGTTGGGGCAGTCGAGCGCCGCCTCCCTTAATTTCATCACGAAGCGGCCATGGTGAAACGCTTTTCCCAGGGGGGGCGGGCGATGAGGGGGTGGCCTTTGGGTATTCGAGCTGAACAGGATCTCCATGATAACTAACATAATAACCCTTAACTTGAATCGCGTCGATCTCATCGAGGCAATCGAGCAGGCCGAGTTGTTCCAAAGCTTGCACGCCACCGGGTTGTAGCAGTTCGCCAACAATGCGATCGGGCTCCTTCATGGAACTCTCCAAAAGTAGAACACTTCTTCCTTGTCTTCCGAGGGCGACGGCCAGAGCGCAACCCAAAATACCAGCACCGACGATCACAATGTCGGCCTCATGGTATTCGATGCGGCGTTGTGTCGCCTGCTGAGATTTCGAGGCATGGCCGTTTGAGGTAGTCATGGTGGGGGGATTCGTGTGGAAGGGACGAGGAGAGACGAGATCGATAGGGCGGCCGGGAGCCGCAGGGGCATTCTCTCGAATTTAAGCGGAGGAGAGTATGGGCTGATGCGCAAAAAAAGTCGCGGAGGTGTAAATCGTTGGGGGGAAAGGGGCCCGTGGCGTGACATGTGAAGGCTTGGTCTTGGCATCAACTTTATTTGCTGGTCCGGCAGCCTCCACTTGCGATATTCCACAAATACCTGGTTTAATGATAATAAAATGTAATTCGAGTATAATTTTATTTTGGGCAATTGAACTACTTTATTTCTTTGACCTAAAAGTTCTCTGGTTGTCTGAAAGAACCGAGAGCGGGACTAGAATACTATAATATCAAGATCTGTCAATGGCTGTTTGTCCCTTATAGAGCAAATGGATCCAAATAAGCAATTGATTTCCAAGGTTTCTATGCTCCATTCAGTGGCTGGTGATATGTAACTCCATCCACAAGAGTAGTCAATGTTCCATTGGCTTCAAAAATATTTTCGAGGGCATTTATTGTGAGATGGAAGCCCCAGGCCAGTCTTCTTCGAAGCGTTTGTAGCACCAGTTTGTAAGATGTCAGAGTACCAATCGAGATGGTTTAACCAAGGATCAGAAGCTGACAACGTCAAAGTCACAGCTTCATGGCCGTGGAGATAGTGCTCCCCATCATCAGAAAAGTCGGTATACTCGACCGAGACCATTTTGATAATGTTAAGCAAGGGGTCCTTTGCTATTCTCGTTTTTGCAAATCCACTATGCTTTCCACGAAGGGTGTAATTCCCCGGAGGTAAAGAGTAAGTGCTAGGGAGGCTAGCTCCTGGTGGGAATTGGGTAGCCCATGGAATCGTGTCTGGAGCGTCGAAAACGGGGACTGGGGAAATGGGCTTGCGAGTCGCTAGACGAGCCAACATAACTCGATAAGTGCGACCTCCTTGAGCAGTAGAAATTGGGCACGGCAATGGGTTGCTTTCCCCACATGCAGGTGGAATAACCAAGCTCTGCCAGTATACAATATGGGTGCCATCTGGAGAAAATGCTGGATCGGCCTTGCCATTCCAGTTGGGATCGTTGACGCTCCCGTTTGTTCCATTGCCCGCATAGTTGACATGTTGACCAAAATAGTCACCGCGATCACCGTATCGGTCGATGAGGATGGGCTGAAAGAATCGACGTGCCCCATTGTTCCGGGTAGACGAAGCAGCTGTGACCGTGACAAGATCCACAAGAGGAGGAATATGTCGCATCCCCGCCATCCACATCTGGCGGTTTGATCCTCGAGTATCCATTGTCACAAACCATTGATTGTCGCGAGAGAAGGCAATTGGATCGGCGTATTCCGGGTGGCTGGTGAGACGGCGAACTACACCAGTAATGATATGAACAGCAAATACATCAATGTTGTTTGCTTCATGTGTTGGCCCGATGTAAAGTATCTCATCTCCAGCGCCGCTAAATCCCCGTAACTCGCCTACACCTATAGCCTGGTCGTCTATCTTTAGCTCCGATCCTTGAGCCATGATGGGCGCTGTGCCATTGGGTTTAGCGAGAAGATTGACGCCAACCAAATCGTATCGCGGAACCCGAAGTGTGCCGTTTGTTGGGCTTTCGTTAAACTGTAGTCGGCCATAGTATGAATTCTCGCCCCCACTCGTAAACGCACTCCATCCAATATGTTTGTCGTCGGGGTGCATGCGCATCTCTCGTGGACTCCCAGAACTGTTGGCACCAGCTGGCCAATATATGGGGTATATGTGCACTTTATCCGGTGTGCAACGCTCACTGACGAGTGTAATACCACCACAATACAAGATATTGTGTCCCCAAAGGGCTTGTTGGCCATTTCTGGCAATGTGTGGATAATCTCTTGCGTCGTCGAGGGAGCGCGAATTTTGCGACGGCACGCCGCAGCTCAAGCATTTCCAAGGGTCGCCCGTACTAAACCTAGCCCCGTTCGTCTTGATCAAAATGAGCTGTTGCCCAGTAAATATGCTAGCGGCGTGTGGTGCGAGGGGAGCGCCGATGAATTCCACGGTGGCAACAACATGGTTCCCATCAGGTGCGAAATCGCCTGCTTGAAAAAAGTCCGATGTTCTTCCAATGCATCCGGTATGTCGAGGATTTATTGAAGTATTGCATGCGCCTGTATCATTTGTTGGTGCCACAGGAGGCAAAGGTAGTTCGAATATGTCAATTGATTCTGATTTGGGTGGTGCCGGTACCCCCGTTGCCAAGCTGAGGGTTGCTGTGCTTACAACGGCTTGAAAGAGCCAATGCATTATGTTTTGATGGTTGAGAATTCTGATTGCAAAAATTCAACGTGAGAAACACGGCTCACTTTATGCATGATTTCTGCCTAGCCTTGGGTGTGAAATAAATTGATCAACCACTGGAAAATCGGAGAGAGCGAACAAACAGGGTATGGTTTACGGTTTACGATGGTTTAAGGCAAAGTATACGAGTACGAGTACGTGGATGTGAGATCTGCACATTATGGTGGGTCATAGAAACCCCAAGAGGCGGGGAAATAAATTTGATTGCTAGCCTACAATTAATTATTTTAGACAGTAAACAAAATGTATGAAATGTCCTTGCCCCCTGGGGGTGACCGGCGAAATGGTTTGCAATTTATCGATCTAAAACTTGCCTTCTTTTGGTTCGGGAGCTTGTGACGATGTCACACACGTTAATATACTGTTTCAAGCTTGTCTTTTCGCGTTCCAATATTTGTTCAGAGATATTTAGAGTGTAATTTATTGAGAGATAAATGCTTCGCTATTGCTGTTGACGCAGTCATGGCGTTTATTTTTGTTTTGAATTTCAATATTTGGAGTCCTGGCTCTTATGTTCTGCTGGAACAGCAGTACGCGCAAGAATCGAAATATCATGATTGCATTGGAAGGGATGAATTGTCCTGGTCGGTACAAATCTATCGATGTAAGAATTTTCTTTTCTCCCTCTTCAACTTGAACCATCGATCTTTGATTTGGCCGTGGCAACCGCTAGTTTATCCGCGAGGGTATTGCCCGGCACGTCTTTATGCCCAGGAACCCAATGTAATTCAAGATTGACCCCTTGACTCTTTAGGGCTTCACTGCGCTCCACCACTGATTGGAAAAGGCGATATTGTTCTTTCTCTTTCTTGGCAGACGGTGACCTTTGGGATTTAAAATTCATGATTCCGCCTAGCGCACCTTGGGAATCCGAGAATATCAGTACCTCATGGGTCTTCCCGGTTCGTTCCTTGGTTTGTAATATTTCTTTCGTTGCTATTTCCAGGGCGCAATCAATAGCATATAGCTCGACCAAATTGCTGTTCGAAGTTTCCGCGGAGAAATGCAGTCCTTGCCCGCCCCAGTCCGATAGACTAGGTTTTCTCCACGCAATCCCGGCGGCTGCTCTGCCGTTACGACTGCGAAGAGAGCCGTCGGCGAAATAAACATGATATTGGGTCGTCTTTGTTTCCAGCAGCATATTTGTCATCAGAGAGGCGTAACTTTTGGCTTGTAATTTGTCTTCTTCTGAGATTGCCCAAGGTATAATGTTTCCCTGGAAATCACCCCGAGGCCTTTGACTCCAGTCAGCAGGATATTGTGAGAATTAGTTGAGACATGATATTTCTTACTTCATGCTTTCTGAAACTTTAGAAACCGTAGAAACAACCCTAGGCTGCCACAGTGGCTCTTTCTTCTCGAGAAGTTGATTCAGTAAGGCCATCATATTCTTCCTCCGGCCGTCTTGCATTTTTGGAGTGCCGTCCATCGCGGCTTCATCCCCAGCTTTGGCTTGGGGAAACCGCCACCCTCCGCGATACCGAAGTTCCACTTTACCGCACGGGTACTTTGTCACTCCGTAGTGAGGTACAAATCGGAAGGAGGTATTTTCGCTTGCTGAAGTCATCACCCGACATGGTGTGTAGATTCGTGTTGCAAGTTGCAAGTGGGAGAGAAGGGTTGTAGGTGATGAGATGAAGATCGCGTGTGTTTGGGATCTATTTCACTCGAAATTAGGCTACCAATCCAAATTAGGCTTTCTTCTTAATTTTAGGGTTTGACACAAGAGTCCTAGTGACTGTTGATTTGTCCGTCATGATGAACCGTTTAGGGCGATTGTGTACTACCGTGACCTGTTCCAACTTTGGAATTTTCAAGTTAGTTCGCGGCTCGGAGAGAACCATCTATGGATAATTCCTTGAATCCAGTAACCTGAAAGTACTCTATTTCGAAATGGGCGAGCCCGAATGAGAACGCCCGGAACAAATAAACATCTATACGAGAATCGGAATGACACAATGAATGGCTTTCAAGAAGATATATACATATTGTACACTGTACTAGTAGTATTGGAAATACATGGATGTGACAGTTACATCCGCAAATTCTTTGTCCCCAGAGCTTTCTTCCGGGGGTATTTAGGGTCCTCGGGAAGCCAGAACTCTTGGTTCACGAGACGATTCTCCTTCCACATCCGTATCACTTCATCCTCGGTGGGTATATTGGTATTCATCAGAAGATCCAGTTCCATCTCTTCGTCAAAATGGGAGACCATCTCTTCAATAGAACCCCGTGGCAGAACTTTTTGCTCTTCGGCTGAGCGAGAAACCACCTCCGTACGCCCGCGAACCTTGCTTTCGGGGTGAGGAGACTTGTTCACCCAGTTGGCTTCACCTTGCATGCTGCACAGGAGTGATTCTGCAAGACGATGCAAAACGCTGATGTTGTGAGCGGCCTTGGAGTCATCATTCCTTCCTTGACGAGTACAAAGTTGTTCCAGGGAAGGCATCAGCCGTCGCACTTCGACATAGAAATCCTGGATAGCGGGTTCTGTTCGGGAAAGGACCGCCACCATGCACCACCAAACGCCCCTCAGGTTCTCTGTCGAAGCAAAGGCACGAAGCAACATCTTGAATAGCACCTGGTCAAAACCATGTGACTTTCGCCATGTGGACTTGTATACCGCTGTGAGAATATCAACGGCCTTTGGCCCCTGTTTCGAAGAAATCAATTTTTTGCTGAGCGAGGCGAGTGCATGGTGCTTGACGGAGAGGTGAGGCGTGTCCCGGCAAAGGTTGTAGTACTCGAAAATTGCCATCTTGAGCAGGGCTGTATCGCTGACACCCTTGTCCAACTGCAGTACTTGCTGGAAGAAAATGGGAGGCACGATAGGGAACGCCGGGTTGGTTCCTACACTTCGTCCTTTGAGCCAGTTTGGGTATTCGCTCTTGATAATGATCTGAGCATCCGCTAAGCCCAGCCAGCCGTGGCCAAGAATCGTTGAGATGACAGCGAGATGGATGTGGGTAGGCCGAAGCACAAAGCCTGAAGCGCCCGCAGTTCGGAAAACACTCAGGGCTTCCTGGAATCTCCCCGCGTTGATGTGATCCTCCATTTGCTTGCGGAGAGGTATGTGGTTATCGATAAGCTTGGTATGCACCAGATCGTCTAAACTTCTCGAGAATGTCTCGTTTGCTGGTTTATGAATTGGGTACAGAACACCTCGGTCCAAAGAGTAAGATGCTGATCCAGTGCCTAGAAGGCGTCGAGTGGTGGCAACCTGACCGTACTGTTTCTTAGCAGCTTGGATCATTCGCCAGAATCCAACGGGGGAATCTTGCATTGAGACTCGACGCGCGATCAAAATACTCAAAAATTCATCTTGGTTAAGCCCTGTGTTCCATTGACGCTCCTCGGCCAAACGGCTTATCTGTCCGATGAGACTCGAGTCGCCTTTTTCGACAAAAGCCTCCAGAATGTGTCGATGAAGAATCTTATCCGGAACAAGCTCAAACTGATGGATGCAGCTAGTAAGGAAGTCAAAAATTTCGCGGCCAGAGTGAGTAGGGTAATATTCCAAGAAGATACGATCAAACGCATATGCAAAATCTCGCTTATTGCGAGTAAACTCAAGTCGATGCATTTCATGCATCCCAGCGAAGACACCTTCCCAGTCACAAGTCAACGCCTTGGCATATATGAGTAGACCAAGAGTCCGAGATCCAGGTTGCACATTGTATTTCTTTGGCATGTCTGCGACCAAGTCTTCGGCATCTTCGTGCTGGCCGCTTTCGATGAAGGCCTTGACGAGTGGGTTGAATAGCTTCTCATTTGGAGAGCGATCAAGATTGGCCAGCGCTGCCAATATATTTCGGAATTCCGCGATTATCAAATCGAGACTTCTCGTCTTCCGCCAAAGACCATCCAGAAATGCACCACACAAGCCGCCGTTCTTGTCGTTTTTAATGCGCGCGTAGAAGAGGTTCTTGGCAGGATTCACTCTCCTCGATTCAAGTAAAGATCGAAGCACAACCTCGAGCAGATAAGCGGGCACGCGTAGCTTCTTGTGGTGCCTTTCATAGATAGAACCAACAGAATCGATATGGCCTCCCTTCGCAAGTAGATGCATCATTGTTGCCCACATCTGGGTATCTATCACACTCACTTTCTCCATCCGCTCGAAAAGAGTCCGGGCGAGGAACGTGTTTCCTTTCATACAATTCGCGGTAAAAAGCTTGCGTGCGACTTCTCGTGTCTCGAAGGATATCGTCACATCTGCGGTTTCATAAAAATTTTGCAGAAAAAGATTGGCCGCTTCGATTTCCCGATCCTCCGAAATCAATTTAATTATGCGCTCTTCAACAGATATATGACCTTCCTCGCGAGCTTCCTCCGCTGGTTCAACATGTCGAGCAAGAGCTACCCGAGCCTCTGCCGACTGTTTCAGTTTGGCGCTCTGCGATTGGCTAAACGGACCGTATTGGTCCAGATCAGACAACCGAACCGCTCCGGGTTGCTGTTGAGAAGGGTCCTCGTGGGTATCTAGCAAGCCTTGCGTCTGGTCATCGCCCTTGGCCCGTCGCAATGGCGGTTTGTTCTTCATGGAATCCAGCCCCATAAACTCTCCTGCTTCGGCAGCGTCCATCATCATGGCGAGGCGCTTGGCTGAAGCTGTCGCATCATAGTTTGGGGCAGAGGTTCGGAGGGTTCGCTTGTTCTCGATGATCTGCTCGGCGATACGGACTCGGCGATGGACATCATAAGTGATGACTCCGACGGTGCAAAAGCCGCCCACGGTAGAGCCCGCAAGGGCCAATTGGCGAAGTACTCGTAGGGCATTTCGTGAGGGAACGGCAGGGGTCGAATTGGCGGTATTGGCGAACATTGTCGAGGCGATCCCGCTGGACGCGCGCTTGGCTCACCAGTCGTGCATCAGCGGACTCGCAGGCGAGAGTTCAGTATAATGCGATCTTATGCATATGATGTTTTTGTCGTCTGGCCTATAGAGGCTAAAACAATAGAGTTGGCGGCCGGGCAATTGAGGTCAGGAGAGGTGGATAAACTCGGGCTGGCAACATTTGCGGAATTGACGAAAACGCGGATGGTCCGTGCGCGGGTCGGCCCATCTACAAATCACCTGATCCGCTACAATCTTGGAGGATATTTGATGCTGGAAACTCTAGTTGAATTGTAACTTGGCAGATACTATTGTCTATTATTCAAGATATAGGCTGAAGCTCTTCTATCTTGCTAGTAGCCCATCCTGCTCGCTCTCCCCTTCTTCGTTGGCCTCGACCGTCACGTCTATCTCGGGCTCGTCTTCCAATGTGACTGGTATCCGGTTAGTGGACGTAATTCGATCAGTTTGGGGGATATCAACGTACCATGTGGTCTGATCAACAGACTCATGAGGAATGCCAGTCCGAAGACAGCGGCAAGCGAAACGAAGACTGTTTGAGGGTATGTTGCAACAGTCAGGCTGTAAATTAGGTTAAAGATAGTCGGAGCAACAACCCGAGCCAGTGCATGAAGCAGACCAGTGGCGCCGAGAAGCTGTCCGACGCGCTCATGAGGCACATGCTTGGTGAGAGATGATTGCAATGTCGGAGATCCCATGCCGCCCAGTGAGGCAACAGCACCGGAGAGAATCATCATTGCTGGATGCTTAGACATGGCATATCCCACGTAGCCCAGAACATCGAATACCACCGACACCCTGATGAGAACGATGTCAAGCATGTCGGACCCGCGGATGGACCCATTATCAGGGGATGGGGTTCGGAAGAAATATGCAACAGCTGGGAGAACCACAAACAGATTAATGACTCGAACAACGTTGATGATTGACACGAAGAGGCTGGATTCCACGTTGCCCCAGTTGAACATATATTCGGCATAGATGATGATGACCTGCATGGTACCCATGGCTACTCCGAAGACGGCCGTGTCCATCGCTGCCAGCAGAATGATATTCCGTCGGAGTGCTGGGCTAGCACCTCGGCGATTGGGGAATAAAACGCTTGGGCGACCAACGGCGGGGAATAATATCGATAGGGGCGTAATCAAGTTCACCGGGTTGAGCGATCTCAAGGAGAACCCATTGGAGGTTTCTGAGTTCGCTTCCTTGGCACGATGCTTCTCTCGAGCAGCCAGCTGGCGCTTTTTGGAGAGTGACTCGGGAACAATAAGAAGAATGGAAAGAACAAAGGTAATGTGGAACGAGAGCCCAATTAGGAAAACAATCACCGTGTTACCGGTCTGCTTGATCAAGAATGCAGCACCGGTAGGTCCAACTGCAATGCCCAAGAACAAGGCGCCGTGGAATAAACCGAAGGCTACGCTGCGCCTATCGGGGGGCGTACAGTCTGAAGCATATGAATGAATCAGAGCTTGGGCACCCGTAAAGGAACCTCCCAGGCCATCAAACACAGCGCCGATGAAGAGTAACTTGACCGACATGTATTCGGGCCA